TTCAGTTCCACAAACATACAATGATCTCATTTTCTGACCTTTGCATATTTTGTTTTTTCTGCCTGTAACCCTTCCTTCACCTCCTTTGCTTAACTAAATCAGGTCACTTTCTTTGAGAAGTCTTCTCTGACTTCCTTTATCATCTTGTTCTGCCAAACTCCCCAGACTGAGATATTAATCTGTGTTTTTGCAGGATGCCTTGTTTCCTCTATTTTAACAGTCATCCAGTGTCTCACTAGATTGTAAGCCCCATCTTGCTCACTCCTATATCCCCAACACTAAGTATAAAGCTCAGCACAACATGGGGACTTAGTTTGGCAAACATTTGCTGAATTGAATTTTAATGTGTCAGTAGCCGTGGAAGTCTCAGTCCTACGAGTTTGTAGCCTAGCCGCTCTGAATAGGAGGAGCTGTGTGAAAGACGACATTCTATAGTGATTCTTTGGCTGGATTCTTTTTTCTCCACTATTTATTTACTACTTTAGCAACTTGATCCATTTAACAACTCTGAGTTTTACTACTCTCTTTTATGAATACAAGTGCTTGAATTTTCTGAAGGCAAATGGTGGGACCAGATGATATTTTCCTTTTTTCTTTTTTAGGTTGCTAGTATTTTATGCATTAGTCAATAATTTTCCTCTTTTGTGCAATGATTATTCCTATCCTTTGGTACATGAATATTTTTCTTACTAATTTGTAAGCCTTCTTTGTACATATATACATATTTAAAAATATTTTAAGTTCATTTTTTAAATTTAAAAATCTTAATTTTTTATGGAGATGGAAAAGCTTTTAATTTTTTGGATTTTTCATATTTTAAAACATGATATCCATTCTTAGTTCACATGCTGCACAAAAATAGATAGTAGGCCAGATTTGGTCTTGTAGGCATAGTTTGCCAACCCCTGCACTAAAGTATTCATTAAATTTGAACCATCTCTGTATTCCTGGAAAAAATACCACTTGATCATGAATATACTGCTGGTTTTCATATGCTAATATTTTATTTAGGATTTTTGTGTTTATGTTCATAAGTCAGATAGGTCTGGTAGAGATTTTAAACTCATTACTGGGCAGAGATTCATTTTATTTGGCTTACATAATATTTTTAAATTTTTTGAATGAATAGCCAATATTAAACAATTGGGAGATATTCTATTAAAAATTAGAAATTTCTGGTTTTTCTTTAAAAAAAAAGGAACATGTCGAAACTGGGAGAATGTGGGCCCAGTTTAGTCACATTTTTAATAGCTCTTATCTATGTATGTTTTCTATTTCATTAATTTCTACTCTTATTTTTATCTTTGAACTTTGCTCTATAGTTTTCTGTTGCTAACCTTATCTGGTTTTTGTCTTTGCCTAGACTTGTACTTAGCACTGAAAAGTCTTTCAGCTTTTTCTAGTTCTGAAACAGTTTAAATTACATTGGCATTATCTGTTTCTTGAAGGTCTTATAGAATTGGCCTCTAAAACTATCTGGGTTGTCTATAATTTGTCAGGTAGAGTTTTGATTTCCTTTGTATTTTATCTATGGTTAGTGAGCTATTAAAAATTTCAAACTCTTGTACCAATTTCAGTAATTAATACTTTCTAGAAAAATCATTCATTTTCCACCCCATGCCAGATTTTAAAATTCATTTTCCACCCCACGCCAGATTTTAAAATTTGCAATAATTCTCTCTTATAATTTAAAGAATTATCTTAGTATTTTGGGTGTCTTTCTCTTTCTTAAATTTGTTTATTTGTAGTTTTCTTTGTTTTAGCACAGTTTTATTTTATTGGTTTTTTGAAAGAACCAGACTTTGATTTTGTTTTGTTTTGTTTTTTAAATAGACTTTAACTTTATTATTTCCTTTTAAATAATAAAAGGAAAGTTCCTCTTTTAACTTTTTGAAATGAATCTTTAGTTTAAAATTTTTTGAAAATCGAAAATCTTTCTTCCGTTCTAAATAAAATCATTTTCCTCTGTGAACTTTCTATTCTATTCCATTGATCTGTTTGTCTTCTTTCTTGTACTACATTATTATAATACTACTTAACATTTGGTAGTCCAAATCCCCTTTATTATCATTTTTCAAAAGTTGGTTGGCTATTGGGCCAGAAGATAGCTAAAGGCACTAAGATTCTTTAATAGCTAAGGTGAAAATGCACCCAAATAAAGCCCTTTATTCCCTTCCCTCTAAACCCAAGTAGTCCTTATTCCTCTAGATACAGAGTCAGTCTTAAAAAAATGCCTATAATCAATTTTTGTACGTGAATGTGGTGTATTTAGGTGTTTGTGTGTATGTGTCTATGCGCTTGTGTATGTGCATAGGATGTATGTATAGTGTATGGGGTGTGTTTGTATAATGTGTGAGGTACATATGTAGTGTGTTTAATTGTGTATATGTGGTGTGTATGTGAATATGGTGTGTTTGTGTGTGTGGTATATTTGTGTTTGTACATGGGAAGTGTTATGTAATGTATGCTTGTGTGTGCAGTGTGTTTGTATTGTGTGTATAGTATGCTTATGTATGCGTGGGGTGTGTGAGGAGTAAGAGAGACACTGAGGCCCAAGGCCAGGGGGTGCTAGAGTGCTTAGGGCATGTCAGAAAGCCAGGCTTGGTCCTCGAACTCCTCACCTTTGTGGGGAAAGCAAGGCCATAACCATGACCTTTTCTGATGTCCCCTGTGGACAGCAGTATGGGTTAATAGGACAAGTCTCTCCTGCAATGGCATTGCCTGGGCTCCCACTCATTTCTGTCCTCTCTCTCCTGAGAAGAGAATGATCTGCTCCTTTAGGAGAAGGAAGCTTCCAGTATTCTACTAAGTAAGGGGCCTTACTGTTGGCGGTAAAGGTGGTGGAGGTGTTGCCACTGCAGGGGTCAGATTAAGATCGGAGTGGCACTGGGGTCTCCCATCCAAATAGGTTAGCTGCTGAGTAGGGCAGAAGGAGTCGGGAGGGAACTTACAAGGCTGTGGGACCTTTGTGCTGAGTGGGGGTGAAGTGCCCAGTGTGGTTCTCAGGCTTTTCTCACCCAGGCCACATACCGCAACTCTGCCCATTTGCTGGGTCCTACTCTCTCAAGGGTGCATTTACAGGTTGCTCACAGCTTCCTGAGTTCAGGGTGGTCTTCCTTAGTGTGGGCTCTACAGTGGTCCCTGGCAGAGCTGTGAAGGGGCCACTGTGACCTTGGGCTCATCACTCTCCCCTTCCCTGTGGACCTCCTTTTCTAATTCCTACTGGGAGAGAACAGCCTTCTCAGGGGACATCCTCAGGCCATGCCTAACCACGTTCTCATCTTGCTCCTGCACGTCTACAGCATCTTCAGCCTCAGTGTCCTGTCTTCATCCTGTGGCTTGAGCCTGAGGTTGCCCATTTTCTCTGGCTGGATGGAGCGGCAGAGCTGGGATACCTCCCTGCCCAGAAAGAATGCCTGGACTCAGACTTCACCAGCTAGAAGGAGAATCAGGCACACTGAAATCCAGGATGCAGGTAAGTCTGCCACGGGGTTGGGGCCAGAGGAGTAGGCTTGCCCATGCTAAGGGCAGTATTCATGGTTTGGGGGCTGGCTGAAGAGCACAGCAGAGTCTCACGAAGTGCTAGGATTCAAACAATCCACTGACCTTTATGTGACTTATTTGCACTTGACCACTAGTTTGCTGATTTCAGGGCACCTTCTCCAGTTTCTGCTCCCTGCTGGTGGCCAGCTGGCCCTATAGGATCTAGTTTCCTTACCTGCCTCAAGAAGGCAGGTCTGCTACTTCCACCTGCGGTTGGCCATGAATCAGGTATGGAGGCCAAGGAAGAACAGAATGAGGATGCCCTTAGGGGCAGACAGAACCGAGTTCAAATTTTAGCTCTGCCAACCTTGGAAAAGTTACCTACTCTCTCTGCCTGAGCTTCGGATTTATCCTTGGTAAATTGGGGCTAATGCTTTCTAGGGTTACTGTGAAAATTAAATGAGACGATGTGTACGAATTGCCCAGCACAGCCTCTGGCACACGATACTCAATACATACAACTTTTCTCTCCACTTTCTCTATTGCGTCCCCCACTCCTGTCTTGAGTGGATCACTGAGCCACAAATATCCATTTGGCAACTTCCAACATTTCCCATTTTTAGACTTACATAAGACCAGCAGCTTTCCCTCCCACAGCAGCAACAGTCAGAGACTGGTAGAGCAGATGTCTTGGTGTGAAACTGCTCCCAGGAGGCGTCCCATGAATGTTTGCTGACAAAGCAGCATAGGGGCTGACCTTCCTTCTAGCTCTGCCTCCTTGCATCAGGCTCTGGAGACTGAAGGCATCTATCCGCTCCGCATACTGTGCATTTCTGTCCCCTCAGATGCTGGGGGCCTGTCCTCTTCTCCCATGGCAGATGGGGGGCCATGAGGCTGGCTGGAGCAAGCTGCTCTGGTCTGGACCTATCCCAGGCTCCTCTCATCCAAAAGGAGGCTCAAGAGGGAGATGGAGAGGGCAGGGTTTGGGAAGGGGCTGCAGCCTGGTGGGTGGGCCCGTCCATGTGTGGAGAACACTTTTCCAAAGCCCCCCGACCTGGGCCGGAAGGGTGTTCTTTTGCCCATGTTCGGTCCAGTGATTACAGTTCTGAGCTTCAAAACAGGTTACAAACCTGGCTAATTGCCGGCCTGGGAGAACTGGACAAGCAGGCCTAGCCCGCCCGAGTGTGCAGCCCAGGGGCTGCGGGCCTCTCGTGCGGATGGCGCCCCTAGCCTGGAGCAATCCCGGCGTCAGGAGCCCTGGTGTGCCTTCCCGGTCCTGAGAGCTTCTGGGGAGGGCTGCCATCCAGGCCGCGAGGACTGTCCTCGCAGTTGGGGCGCCAGCGCTTCCCCGCCTTTAGCCAGTGTCTGCTCGGTCAGGTGGAAACCTCCCCATTCAAACTCGCGCGGGCCAATCAGAGCCCGGCGCGCCCGCCAGTTCAAATGCGCGCTTCAGCCAGGCTTCAGCTCGCGCCTCCGAGACCCTGCGCTGGGGGCGGGTGAACCTGCTGCCTCGGTTACCGTGGAGCAACACAGACGCCTCGGGTTACAGGCGCACCCTCCTGTCCCGGAGCGGGGCGGCCATGGAGCACTCCCTGCACCGCGTCTCTCTCGGGAGCCGGCGTGCCCACCCGGGCTTGTCCTTCTACCTCACCACCTTTGGTAAGTGCCTTCGGCTGGCTTCCAAGGCTGAAGCACCCTGCACTCAGCGCCCGGAAAGGGCGTCCCCACGGAGATAGATGAGGCTAGGAGCAGGTGAGCCTTCTGTTTGGGGGCACCTTCTTGGGATCCTTCCTCCTGTGGTTGCCCAGGACGGGCTCAAGGGAAGGGCTCAGGCACAGGCTCAGGCCAAGCAAGCCGCCGGGCACCACCTGCTGCCTGGCCACTGGTGCCAAGTGCAGTTGGTTCTGCCTCACTGGGCTGGAATAATCATGCCCCAGTTAATCTTTCAGAGACTTGGTTTGTCACCACTGAGTTTCCCATTAGCAAGCAGCTCAGGCTTAAATCAAAGTCTTATTACTACGCCTTTGAGCAGGAACAGTGCAGGTGCCAGGTTGGCCCACTGGCCTTGCCTGCTCGTGGGCTCACCTGGGAAGCTGCATTGTGACTGCTTCAGTGGATCGCTGACCCACAGCAGAGATGGGAGAATTCTCTCCTCCAAGAGCGACTAGGCTCTCAGGAGGGTCCCAGGTCTGCCCTGGGGGCTTGCGATGGAAAGAAATGGGCAGTAGACTTCTGCTCCCTAGATAACAGGACTGGGTTCCCCCAAATAATAGCTGGGCAGCAGCTCCTCAACAGTCTAGGCAAACCCAGCCTTCCAAGTAGCCATACTAAAGATACAGCCCTCTACAGCTCTCCATTTGTTTCTTCTCGGGTTCTGCAACACCTTGTGAAGAGGGGGTTATATTTCCTCTGTGAAGACTTGCGATCTAGAGAGGGGAAGTACTCCTGGTGAGCCAGTTGCAGAGTTGATACTTGAGCTGAAGCCTTTTGAAACGACCTGTCCAGTACAATCTTTTTTGAATTTGTATGCCATTTTATTTACGAAGGTTTGGGCAGTTACTGTAACATAACTGGACTTTGCCCAGATTTTGAAGACATAGCACCGAAGAGCTAGGCCCTCCCTGGGGTTCTGGCCCTCCTACTATACCTCTGTCAGCACACTTGACTCTTCACAACCTGCCTTTTTCTCTAGGGGCAGGGAAGTAATGGGAAAGCAGTGTCCTGGCCTCTAGAAATGGCCTATGGTCTGGCATCCTGGAGTTCACTGGTCCAGTTGGCGGACGATAACAATGAGAGTAATTAACTAGGCACCATTGGTTGGGCCCTTACCATGTGCTGTGCCTTGTATCAAGTGCGTTACCTGCATTATCTCATTTAGTTCTCCCAACACTTAGAGGCAGTGTTAACTCCTGTTAACTCTACTGGGATGTGGAACTGTACCAGACAAGGGAGGTATTTGGGATGGTCTGAGTTGGTGGGGCTGGAAAGACTGTCAGGGAGCTGTGAGCCCCTGTTACCTTAGCTGTGTCCTGATTAAAAAATAAAAATATGTTTCATTGTTTTTTTTCCTCTGTATTATCATGGTGAGATGTATTCACTGTTGAAAACTTAGTGAAAAGAAGGAAGTAAGAATCACCTGTAATCTGTAATTTGACTCCTAGAAAAGACCGTTGTTGACATTTTGGTTTATATCCTTCTAGACTTTTTTCTGTGTTTGTGTGTGGGGGAATGTTGTGTCTAATTTGAACAAAATTGAGATCATCTTGTAACTACAGTTTTATAAATTATAGCACTTCTTTTCCTTATTGTTATGATGTGACTATTTCCTATCAGTCTACATTCTTCTGTTGAATTAATTTCCCTGCCAGATCTGGGAAGTAGAGGGGTGTCCAGTACAGCAGGCAGTGGATACCCTGCCCAGCCATGGGTTGGATGGGTGTCAGAGAAGGTTGCTGCTTGAACCAGTGACTGTGACCTGAGTATGCAGTGGGCAGGCAGGAATCGGGTGGGGTGGGGAGCCTCCTGCTCTTATGTATACAGTCACCTCTTAAATCTGAGGACATTGATTAACACTGGGAAAGTTCTTTCTTGTTTCTTGCATTAATTGTTTTCTTGACATATGCCGCCTCTCCTTCAGGCTGATGATTTTCTTCACACACTGAATGATCTTTGCTTGTCTCCTCATGAATGAAGATTCATATCAGTGGTTACCAACCAGGCCAATTATCAGAAGCACCTGGGAGCATGTTAAAATCACAGATTCTTAGGATCTTCTCCCAGACATTATGGTTTAATGGGTCTGGAGTGGGACCTGAGAATCTAATTTTAAGAAACCACAGAACTATTTTGGCCATCAGGCAGGTTTGGAAACTTTGGTTTCAGAGTCAATTTTGACAGTCAACTCCCCTAATGAGAAGGGCTTTGCTAAGTTTTCTTCAGTTCACTGGTCTCTCCCCAGCATGGCAGGTAGCCTCTGGCCTTCAGCAGTGGGCTTTGTCCTGGTAGAACCAGATGAAGGTGCTGCCTACCTGGTAGTTCCCTGAGCATAACCATTTAAATTTTTTTTTATTTTTTATTTATTTATTTTCAATTATAGTTGGCATTCAATATTATATTAGTTTTAGGTGTATAGCATAGTGGGTAGACATTTATATAATTTACAAAGTGATCCCCCGATAAGCCTAGTACCCACCTGGTTCCATACGTAGTTATTACAATATCATTGACTATATTCCCTGTGCTGTATTTCACATCTCATGACTGTTTTGTAACTGCCACTTTGTACTTCTTAATCCCTTCACCTTTTTTACTCAGCCCGCTAACCCCGTTCCCTTCTGGCGACCATCAGTTTGTTCTCTGTTTCTGTGAGTTTGTTTCTGTTTTGATTGTCTTTTATTTTGTTTTTTAGATTCCAACCTAAGTGAAATCATATGTTTTTTGTTTTTCTCTGTCTGACTTATTTCACTTAGCGTAATATCCTCTAGGGTCGTCCATGTTGTTGCAAATGGTAAGGTTTCATTCTTTTTTATGACTGAGTAATATTCCATTGTATATATGTACCACATCTTCTTTATCCAATTGTCTATTGATGGACACTTATGTTGCTTCCATATCTTGGCTATTGTATATGAAATGTTCTTACTTGTCACTTTTATAGCCTTTATTTTAAAGTCTATTTGATATAAGTATTGCTAAGACCAAACTTTTAAAGGGAGTTAAATTTCCAGCATCTCTGAAATGATGGAGACAAAATTGTTTTTACTAGAATTCTTTTCAGGGAGAGTACTATATGGTATAAGTTGTGGTTTATGTATTGTGTGTGTGTGTGTGTGCACATTTGCGCATGAGTACAACCCCATACCCCCAATAAGGGACATGTTCAAGTAACATTAGTTGGCCATACACTACCTTCTAAGGAGGTGACCTGGCTTCAGCAGATGAGAGTATGTAAACTGAGGCTAGAACCCAACTACTCCAGAAGGATTTTTATTTATGAGAAATAATGTAATTTGAATAAGTCCTGGTAAGCGTATGTAAGTTTTTTTTCTTCAGGAAAAAAATTTCATTAGTATATTTGCTAACATGTTTTTTTTAAAATAGCTTTATTGAGATATAGTCACATACATACAATTCAGTCATTTAAACTGTACAATTGAATGGTTTTTAGTATATCGACAGAAAGTTTTGAAATTATTACTACAGTCAATTTTAGAACATTTTTATCACCCCAAAAGGAAACACTGTACTCCTTAACTTATTATCCCCAATTCTCAGTCTCCCCTTTTGGCTGATCCTAAATAATCACTAATCTACTTTCTGTCTCTATAAATATGCCTATTCTGGACATTTTATGTGAGTGGAATTATATATATATATTTTTGTGACTGGCTTCTTTTGCTTAGCATAATGTTTTTAAGGTTAGCTCATGTTGTGACATGTGTAACTCATGTTGTAACAATGAAGTGTCAGCACTTCATTTTTATTCATTTTATGAATAATATTTTATTATATAGATATACCACATTTTGTTTATCTACCCATTAGTTGATGGCCATTTGGATTGTTTCTGTCTTTTGGCTATTATGAATAATGCTCTGCTATGAACATTCATGTACAAGTTTTTGTGTGGACATATGTTTTCGATTCTTTGGCTATATACCTAGGAGTGGAATCACTAGGTCAAATGAGAACTCTAGGTTTAACTGTTTGAAGAACGGCCAAACTCTTTTCCAAAGTGGATGCACCATTTTACATGCCCATCAGCAGCGTATGCGGGTTTTTATTTCATCAACACTTGCTGTTATCTGACTTTTTGATTCTAGCTATCCTATGGGGGTAAAGTGGTACCTCATTGTGGTTTTGATTTAAATTTCTCTGATGATCAGTGACATTGGACATCTTTTCATGTGCTTATTGGCTATTTGTATATCTTCTTTGGAGAAAAGTTTATTCAGATTCTTTGCCCATTTTTAAGATCCTATGCATCATTTTTAAATTAGGCTACTTATCTTTTTATTGTTGAGTTTTACGTATTCTATATATATTCCAGTAACAAGTCCCTTATCAGATATATGATTTACAAATATTTTCTCTCAATCTCTGGGTTTTTTGATCCACTTTGTTGATAGTGTTCTTTGAAGCTCAAATGTTTTTATTTTGATAAAGTCCAAATTATTTCTACTTTTGTTGCTTGTGCTCTTGGTGTCATATTTCAGCATCCATTGTCAAATCCATGAAGATTTACCTTTATGTTTTCTTCTAGGAGTTTCTTAGTTTTGACTCTTACATTTAGATCTCTGATCTATTTTGAGTTAACTTTTGTATATGATGTGAGGAAAGGGTCCAGTTTCAATCTTGTATGTGACTATGTAGTTGTCTTGGCATCATTTGTTGAAAATACTATTATGTCATCATTAAAAGATCTTGGCACCCTTCTCAAAAATTAATTGACCATGTATACATGAGTTAATTTCTGGACTCTTAATTCTATGTGTCTTTTCTAAGGCCAATACCATACTGTTGCTTTGTAGCTTTGTAGTAGTTTTGAAATTGGGAAGTGTGACTTCAATTTTATTCTTCTTTTTCAAAATTGTTTTGGCTGTCCTGGGTTCCTTGAGTTTCCATATGAATTTTAGGCATGATATTTTATATAGAAAATA